AATACAGGCCTGACGCTGGAAGCTGGCGGAAATTTTAAAATGGCGTGGATGCGCGGTGGCAAAAGTAGGCAGTTTTAGGTATAACGATTGCAGCCCTCTTTCTTCGGTATTCCTATCAGGGGCGTAGATTAAATATTTAAAAATAAGGATCAGTGAGCAAGTAATAGACAGACAAACAAAAGAACTAATTGTTGATGTTGAATGTGAAAACTAACTATAAAACAACAGCAACAGGTTTATTTTTTCTTTTTTGTAAGTTATGTTTCTATATTATTTTCTGGTACGCTACTGTCCTATCTGTATTAATACTATAATTTACGCCTACTGAAAGCTTATTTGTGTATCGGTATACTAATCTTTTGTCCCTGTATATCTATCCCTACAGTTGTACTGTCTTTAATAATGTTGATCGCGTCTTCGATGTATAGATTTAAAATAGCGGTGACAGTGTGCATCCTTGTCTGACTCCCTTCGTTCTTTTCTAATATATCTCCTAACTCATGGCCTACATATACGTTTTCTAAGTATTCTCTCCAAATCTTAAACGAAATTGTCATGATGAAGTTTTAGTTTATCTCACGTTAATAAATTCAAACAGTGCAGGAGTTATTCTGTTATTTTAGTCCCAAGAAAAATATTCAAATAAGTTTGCGGTTTGGATTTTCTTAAAGTTTAAAACGTCTTTAGAACTTTGAATAACAAGTGGAAGGTTTTCCCTAATCAAAATCAGCGGCATACAATTAAGAAGTGAGAATTTCAAGAGGAATTAGTTTTTACTCTTCCATAATTACCTTTTTCTTTCCTAATTATCTCGAATACGGCCCCATTTAATGAAAGAACCGAAAATAATAAAGCGAAACTCGGATACTTTACAAATGAAATAATTAAAATTATTATTCCAGCAACAAATAAACAACTTAAAGTTTGCGTCTTTCTTTCCAGATGACTTCGACTAACGAAGAGCTGCCACCTTCGCTAAAGACCAGATCATCCCCTGTGGATTTTCAAAATGCAGATTTGGTATCCCGACTTTTGGCAGCGACCCCGCCGTATCTGTACAACATGCCGGTAGTTCCTCACAGTTTTTTCTTTAGTGAAATGTTAAGGTCACTCGTTCAGGCAAAAGCTGCCGAAAATAGCCAAAGACATACCTCTACCGTACATCAGAGGCGACCAAGAAAACGATCTTGGACCCAAGTACATGCCGAAATTACTAAACCAGAAAATACTGATGTCTTTCAACCAATGTGGGCCAAATCGTTCCCCGAAAAGTCAAAACTATTTGAGGAAAAAATTGCCGAGAAACCTCACCATTTTCCTGTTCCACATACAGAAAAATTAAGTTCTGATGATAACATCAACGATAATAAATCCTTTATATTACCTGACTTTGACAAAAACATACCCAGCACGAGTACGACGGTTCCGACGGCGTTTCCGCAACCTTCTAGTCAATCTCACGGTTTAAATGACCTTTCTCTGCCATCCCAACCGTCTGTATGGTATCCCCCATTTTATTCGAACGCTTATGGAATTGATCCACTTCACTTCTTCATAGATTTGCGCGTATCAGGGCACATTTACGACAAGAAGAATCAAAAAGAAAATCTAGGCAGTCTTCATCCCCAACAAACCGAAAAACCTCCCTTCCCAATACCCACGTCAGCAAATCAACTGTACAAATCTGAAGCGTCTCCTGACAATCATCCTGTCAAAGAAAGCTTCAAGCAGACCCGACACACATCAGCTTTCAGTGTACCTAGATCAGTCTTGAATAAAAACCTTCCCGTTAATCTCACTCATTATTCTTCCTCCTCGCACAGTCTGAAGTGCACGGAGTCGAAAACGAAATTCGACGTCAAATCCATGGGATTCGACAAGGGTGACAATCTTACCGGAACTTCGTACATTATGAAGAACGTGACGAAGTTGTACAAGAAAATATCTTCTACTAATATAACGAAAATGGAAGTGGAGAGTGCCGATTCCGAAACCCAGGAACAAGTGGACGTGATTGATACCGAAAAGGAATCTACTTCTTCTAAAATCCAATCGGACGACGATGATGGCTTGACCGAAGAAGAAAAGGAAAAACGGGTGAAAGATCTTCGAGCTTTGATCGGCCTCGAATTGGTAGTGGATTACATGAAGAACGCTAAACCTGGTCAAAGAAATGACACGAATCATGACAGTTCTTCAGACCTAGGAACAAGTGATAGCCCAACATTAGATGTAGTCGATATCCATGACGATATCGAAACTGTTTATTAATCATAGTTTTCGTAAATCGAAAAAAACAAAGAATTCCGAAGGTTTTAAAAGAATGGTAGTAAAGTACCTGACATGTGCACCGCAAAAATATATTCGTATTGGCTTCAATAGTACAGAGTACAGAGGTTCATTATTATGCTCCAGTGGACTCATCTACAAATAATAAAAGTCCTCACGTAAGAGGCTGCATGTTTTCAAGGAGGACCGTAGAGAAGAAGTAAACAGAAAGGAAAAACAGTTAAGAGAGTAGTTGATTTTCGATAACGATGGCATACAGAAGTGACAAATTTTTTAGGTTCGGTAGATAGACAATCATTTTAGACATCTACCTTTTAAAATTTTGAGATACGGATTGTACCTTACAGAAAACCATGTAGTTTCGACTCGTATCGTCCTGTCGCTAATCTTTTTAATATTAGTGTTACCGGAAATGTATGAAATCCGTCATTGTACATAATTCCTAGGAAATGTATGTAATTCCTAAGATCGCCCGGAAATGTGTGAAATAAATTTATTAGACACATTTCCTATATACAAATCTATACATTTCCTAAGTAGCAATCGGAAATGTATTACATAAATAGGCAATAATATAGAAGGCTAATTGGAGATGTACCTACATCCTTTGGTGACGTCATTCTTTGGTTAGGAAGATTTATGACAGACTGAAGTTTCTCTAATGTCATTGCCCGCTGGAGCCGGGCTGATATGTTAAATGTTAGAATAATGTGACGAGGTTATCTTTGTTACAGCAAACACGATGACCTTCAGTTTTCAGTATGTTGTAGAGGTGATAATGCTGATTATTTTCATAAATATATATGTTGGGCGCGGAGATCTAATAAAGCATACTTTTCAAAGACATATCCGACATATCAGCCCGTCTCCCGCAGGCAGGGGCATTACAAAAACTCCAATCTGTCATAAATCCACCTAATAGCCATACAATGTCACAAATGCATATACATCTTCAAACCTAATCTAAACCAACAATAACGTCACCAATGCATATACATCAGGCGATCGCACTAGAACCACGTAAACACAGACAACTCTCTCTGATTCTCAGTTTACTAACGTGTTTTATTCATTTTATTCACAGAAAGCATTAGTTTTATACATTTCCTAGTACTATATCGGAATTTCATGCAATTCCTAGGAAATGTATACATGAAACAATATTTTATAATTTCCTAAATAGCCTAGGAATTGTATACAATTCCTAAATTTCATACATTTCCGGTAACATACCATAGTATAAAGATTCTATACAGTAGGTTCATTCCCTTGATCTGCCTGAAGTGCCTACATCTTTTGTAGGCCACCATAAATTAACTTTATGTACGCTGAACTGCCAAAAAATAAATACAAAATGTATTTGTACTGTGAGTTCACGATGACACCCTGTACAAGCCAATACCTGCTTGGTGAGGAATAAAGTGGTGAAGCGTCAGCAGGAGAGGAATGTATGGGCGTGGCTGAGAAGTGAATCTACTGTATAGAATCTCTATATTGTGGTATTACCGTTATTCTTTCAGATTTCAATCGCAATAAAACTAATGCGACCGAAAGAACGAAAGAAAATGAATAGCTACTTGCCGTTGTGAAATGTGAAGTCATTAATAAATAAATAAAATTTCTTGCTCAAAATCTCCATCAGGTACTATTTCTGTTCGAGACAGAAACTCATGTCATGTACTACAAAATCCTGGACAAATTAAAAACATATCTAATTTAAAATGTAAAATAGCATTAGGTTAAGCTGCACAAACATCACCCCTAATGAATAAAATATTTAGCTCATGCAACATCTCCATAATTTATTTTAAAATTTTCTGTACTTTATTTTCGTAGACTGAAAATAGTAGTAATTGGTTCGAATATGTAACACGTATTGGTGGGACAATCTGCGAGTGACTGTAATACATATTCTACATATGTATATTTCAAAAATTGGTTTAAACCAAAGATCTGATTTGATCAAAGTTGCTGTACCTATAGATGTGCATATATGAGGAAGTATATCCTATATATATATTATACATATATATATAT